TTTTAAGAGCTATGAAGCGGGGACAGAGGCAGAGCGAGCTCGTTCGGGCTGGACTGGGATCTGAGCTCACACAAACCTCTCCCCGGCAGACTCATCCCTCCTGGGGGGAAGAGTCGGAGCCCCGAGCCCGCCGGCTATGAGCCACCTCTACAGCCCCCACCTCTCCCCTATGGGCTCTCCATCCATGCTGTACCTCCCTGCCGCGCTGGGCTTTGCCCCCAGCAGCGCAATTACCCGGCAGGACCCTCCTCAGAAACCTCCCTACAGCTACATCGCCCTCATCGCCATGGCCATCAAAGAGGCTCCGGAGCAGAAGGTGACCCTCAGCGGTATTTATCAGTTCATCATGGACCGCTTCCCTTTTTATCACGACAACAAGCAGGGCTGGCAGAACAGCATTCGTCACAACCTCTCCCTCAACGATTGCTTCGTCAAAGTGCCCCGGGAGAAGGGTCGGCCGGGAAAAGGCAGTTACTGGACCCTGGATCCGCGCTGCTTGGACATGTTCGAGAACGGTAACTATCGCCGGAGGAAGAGGAAGCCCAAAGCTTCGGGGCCTCCGGAGGTTCGCAGCGGTTCGGCTCCCCCCGACGGCGGCCGCCCCGACGAACCCAAGCGGGCCAAAGGGAGCGAGACGGGGCAGAGCCCGGCTGGGGATTCGGCCGATGAGGGGCTTGCGAGGCCGGCAGCGGGGCGGGGGGGAGGAGATGCTGTCTCCGGGTGCCTGGATCGAGGCGGTGCCGCCGCTCCCCGACCCCCCGACGGCTCGGGGGGGCCGCCCGCCGCCGGTGCTGGGCACAAGAGGGGCCGGAGCTTCAGCATCGAGAGCATCCTAGCCCAGGGGCTGCGGCAGAACCCCCCCGGGGCAGCCCCAAAGGCCCGGGAGAGCCCCGTCGGTTCGCTGGTGGCCAGCGGAGGCTTCGGTTCGGCCCTCAATGCTTCCCTCATGCTCGACTCCCAGGTGCACGGGAGGCTCTACCACATCGGCATCCCCTTCCTCTCCTGCTTCCCTTTCCACTTCTCTGAGGCGGTATTTAATTTCCAGTAGTTGCCCCCATTATGATATGTGTCCTCCCCCCCCTCCCTCCCCCCTCCCCCCCGTTCTGCTCGCTGAGAAGGGAGAACCCAGACTCGGACCTCACCACGCGGGTAGGGACCTAAAAGCGATGCTAAATGTTACTCAGGATTTCAGGGCATTCTCAAGGCACCTCTCACTGCAAAGCTCTCTTTTCCCATTGCCTCACCCTCTGCCAGATCGACTGAAAGGTAAACCAGATTTTTCTCACATCACAAAGAAGGGCAGCTCTGGGGGGGGGAGAAGGGGGGGAAGGGGGTATGCTGGCCTCTAAGCCCTGCTAGGTTTGCTCTGCAGCTTTAACCTTTGCATCCAGCAAGATCCTCAGCTTTCTGCCAAATCCTTCCGCTCTCCAGTTTTCTTTATTTTTAATTTTTCCTTTTGGAAACCAAACCTGTCCCTCTTCTCTCTTGGAAAAGAGGCTGAGATTTGTGTTGCTGTTCATATTCTGCCTGAGATCGGCCCAGTCCACCAAGAAGGGGAACCAGAGCTGGAACAGGGGCAAACAAAAGAACTCAGGCTCATCCTTCACAGCTCTGCTTGCTTTGACTCAGCACTGTATAGAATTCAAGCTGGTTCCCTGCCCATCACTGTCCTTCTCAAGTACTGCCACAGCTCTTCTGCCTCACTGTTGTGACTGTGGAGAGAGGGATGGCTGAGCAAACATGTCTGGAACAAGAAGTTGGTTTCCACGTGTTGCTGGAATCAGATGCTTCTGACCAAAAAAGATTGGGCTGCCGAGGCTGATTTTGGCATTTTGAAGTGTTAACAACCTGGAAATGAAACAGAGAACAAAGAAAAAACAAAAAACAAAAAACCAGAAAACAAAAGACTTCAGCTGTGTTTCTCAAAGTTTTCATATATATATATATTTCTTAAAGAGGGAAAAATCAAGACTCCTTCGAAGCAAGCAGGAATATTTCTTTCTATTTTTATTTTTATTTTTCCCATAATAGAGGCTTTTTGTATATTAACGGATAAATGCCCTTTTGGAAAAAAAAATATATATATATATATATTCTCATTTTTTTTCATTATGAAAATATCCAATAAAAGTATTTTGTCCAGGATTGTGGCTGTGTGCAGTCAAAGTCACCTTGTATTGTGCAGCAGTGGGCCGAGGAGTGAGACTGGACCCCATGCCAGGCTCTGATGCACTGCTGCCATCATCCCAGTGCCAATATCCTGATGAGAGCATGAAGCACTGCAGAGCCAGGAGGTAAAAGGGGATAAAAGAAAAAAGAAAAAAAAAAAACAGGGGAAATGATCCATTTATTGAGACTGAGGTGACATTTCCCAAAATGATTCTGTTCTCCTCCTTCTCTCTCCTACTTCTATCCAATCCCTTGTTTCAGAAGCCTCCCCTTAAATTTACCCCTGGATTGTTGGAAATCTGGGGTCCTCAGGTGAGCTGTGATTCAGCTTTTATGGAGGATGGCTGCACTGTGCACCTCATCATCCTGCCCTGACCTTTGCACTGGGAGCTCAGGGGTTCCATTCAACATGAAGCAAAAAGCTCTTGGGTGGGGGAGTGCAGAAAACCCTTGTGGAGTTTCCCAAAAGAAAGATGTTCACACGTGGATCCAGGAGCAGAAGCAGCTATGGGTTTACCAATTCCTCCCATGGGAAAAAAAAAAAAAAAAAAAAGGACAATAAGAAAAGGAGAAGAATTTCAATGTAGATTTGCAAGACAGACTTTAAACAAAATCCCTTGCGTGCTGTGCTTCCTATTCTTGACAATTCATGTTCAGTTATCGATGGAGTCCATTTCTTAAAGCTATGACACTGAATCAGGAAAGTGAAGTGTCACTGCCCACTCGATGCCTCTTGTGGGATAATACACAGGGCTGGGAAGGTGCTGGGGGATTATTGCCTCAAACCCCCTTGTCCCTGCAGTGTCTGTGTGTAAGTAGAGATACAGGAGCAAGATAAATAAATGGCAGCCATGCCATGAGATGTGCAAGGGATTGACATCATGTTGTTTTGGAGGCTGGGTGGGAGCATCACCACGGGCAAGAGGAGAGCTGGGTTGGTTCTTGCCCAGCATTGACTTGAAACCTCTGGCCATTTCTCTGCCCCACAGGCTTGCAGGATTTGCTCACAGTTTGGAGGTAGGGAGGTGAATCCTGTCTCCTTCAAGCCCCAGAGTGAGCAGAGATGCTGTGTTGTGGGTGCCCCATTCTTGGAGACACCCAAGATCAGGCTGGACGTGGCTCTGAGCACCTGATGGAGCTGTAGCTGTTCCTATTCACTGCGAGACGGTTGGACCAGCTGGCCTTTAGGGGTCCCTTCCAACTCAAACCATTCTATGATCCAGGTGCACAGAGGGAACCATCAGCAGCCACTGCGACCATCCAACCACCTCCACACCTATGCCTTTTAGTACAAAAAAAAAAAAAAAAGTAAAATTGGAAGGAATAAGACTCAAATCAAACTGCAGCTTGACTTGTATGCCTTTTTTTTTTTTTTTTTTTTCCTCCTCAAATGTGCTTTTTGGAGATTTAATCTTTGCAATAGGAGTTTGTTTTCTGTGAAGCTTTGTGCTTGGTGACATTTGGTTTTATGTCTGTTTTGTTGGAGTGGTGTAGGACCAAGCCCAGCTGCAGCAGCTAAGGCTTGGTTTTGTTTTCAATCAATCAGGAGACTGTAAAATTAACAGAATTAACATCTGGACAAGGGTGACACAAACTCAGATGAACTCAGCACCCCATAAATACTCCTCAGTGGCAACTTGGAATCAATTGGAATCAGGCCATGGGGGTAACTTGCAGGGGATGGACAACAAGGGAAAGTCTCATGTTGCCAGCAGGCAGAATGACTAACCACATAAGGCTTCAACACGTCATCTGTTTATATATAGAAGAGCAGAAGCAATGGTACACGAAAAACAGCCGTGCTTTGGTGCTGAGATGTAAGGGTGTGCATCGATACAGCACTACCTGGGATTTTTGTGGAGTGAGCATCCTTGGTTGCTCTGCATGCCACACTCGCCTTGCTGCTGCACGGTGCAAAATAATGCATTATACAGATACAGAGGGCTTGACAAGCTGCAAATACTCAGTGTTTTCAGTGCTAATGGTTTCACACCTGTTCCAAAACCAAAAAAATAAAACCCAGCTGCCAAACACAGAGCTGCCACCCAGCACTTAACTCATCCCTGGAATCTTCCCCTCCTGCTTTCCCAGCCTCTCGGGTTTGGCTACGAACACAAGGCTGAAACATGATGAAGAAAAAGTAGAAAATAGCCCATGATGCAGCACAAACAGCACAGTACTTGTGTGGGCGATGGATGTGCCTTTCCGTTCTGCTGGGGAGGATTGACCTCTCCCAACTGAGAGAGGTTTCATGTTGCCCATGTTAACCCATTGGAGCTCACAGCCTCTGAATGTGGCTTTCTTACAATGGGAACTGACAGTTCTGTGTGGCAGTCTATTAAGACACATTAGGAAGTTCATTTCTCATAAGTGGGGCTTTCAGTCTGTAAACTCACTCTGGGTGGGCTCTCTTAAGTTGGTTCCATTGCATATATACATGCATATATAAAATAAATTTAACACGTATACACATACAGAAACCACGTTGGAGACTCATCACTCAAAGCACGTGAGCATCAGTGGCTGATATTGAGGTGCCATAACCCAAAGAGACTTGGTGACCATTTCTATTTCTTTTTTTTTTTCCCAATCCCTCCTCCTTTCATCCTTTCCCAATGACAGAGAATCCCCTTTCACACCAAAAAAACCCCACAGCCCTCCAGCTAATTGCTCTTAAGTCCACTGTGACGAGCTATTAATCCCAGAAACAAGGGGATGTTCTAAGTTGGTTCATAGCCCCACACACCCCAAAGCCCACCTCTCCTGGGAGATGAGATTTGGGACACTAAACAGATCACATATTTGATTTTCAGTGCAAGACTACGAAGACAAGATCACAGAATGAGAGAAGTTACAGATGGAAAAGGTCTACGAGGTTATGCAATCCATCAGTCTGGACATTGCATAATTGCTCCCTGCAGTATATTTTTAGTGCTTTATCCAGACAAATCATTAAGTGCTTTAAAACGAGCCGGATTCCTCAAATGCGATGCGTGCTAAATCACAGCTGATTTCACAGTGTCTCATAAGACTTCACAAGAAAGTTTTGTGTGGTCAAGGAGAAGAGAACCGACTCTTCCAAAAATAAATACTGATCTGATCCGGTATTCCTTACAGGAATCTTTCCCAAAATGGATGAATTAGACCTCTTAAAACCTCATTTTCAGATTAGCCTGAATAATACCTTATTACTTATTCAGATGTTCGCTGAGTCCGAAGTAGAACACAGTTAACGTTCATGTGAACACCATTTGTTTTAAGCCAACTTCAAAAGCCAGTTCGGTAAAGCGTAAAGAATGTTTATTTAAAATATAGTTGCTAAATTTAGCATGAGCTTGGTTAGCCTAAATCTTAGCGACATTTTTAGAGAGCACATTGCAAATCAGGAATGCACGGAGAAATAAATAAACTTTCCCACATTTTTGGAAATCGAGTAAGAATTTGCAAGTTATTTCTTGCATGGGTAATTTCCATGGCTTGGAAAACGTTATGACTAATGCAAATTTCCTGCTTAAAACGGCTTATAAAATACAATGATAATAATTTTCATTGTAATTTAGCTTTAAGCCAGCCTCCCTCAAGGAGGAAACAACACTGACAGCAGTCAGCTTTTGTTATTAAAATTACACAGGGAATTAACGTGAATCACTATTTACTCAAGCTCTTTGCAAAGCACCAAAATCTCAGTGGAGCTGCAGTTGGCTCTCAGCCATCTCAGTCCTCTGCAAAGGAAACTGTGTGCTTGAACAGGGTCCAGTAATTAACAGAGTAGAAACGTAGAATTATTCGAGTTGGAAGGGACTTATAAAGGTCATCTGGTTCAATTGCCCTGCGATGAATGGAGACATCTACTCTGGTGACATCCTGGTTGGATTTGGTGCCAACCTGCCCATGGTGGGTGCTCAGCTTTGTTGGGTGTTCACCTGAGCATGGGACCAGAAGAGTATTAGTTCACATGAGCTCTTGTCTGCAATCCTGTGACAGCAAAATAGAGCACCTGGAGCTGTCTGATGGCCTAATTTATATTGATTCAATTGAGCTGTGTGGGATTTGAAGTAGGAGACAAAGCAGACTAATGGGGAAGCACAGCCTTCAGTCCATTAGACAGAAGATGATTTAAGCTTTTCCTTTCCTTTCTTCCAACAGCTCCTGAGTTTACGTGGGGCAAAGAGGCACTTCTGAGCCATTTTCGAGTTATGTGACATCGCCTTAGAAAAATGAACAAGCAGGGCAAATGAACAGATTTGAGATGACAAGGAGTAAAATTGTCTTTTTTGGAGGGGTCAGTATCAGAGGGTTGGAGCATAATTTCATAGAACCATAGAATGGTTTGAGTTGGAAGTGACCTTCAAAGGCCAAGTGGTCCAATTCCCCTGCAATGAATGGGGACATCTACAGCTCCACCTGATTTCCATCTTTCCTCTCCATCTTATTCCCCAAAGAATACCTGTTGCTCATAAGGTGGGAGGAAATCACTAGTGGTGAAATAACAGAAGAAAACCAATCTTTTTGCCCCAAAACAGGGTTTCACCTCTCTGTCTTTTGCCAACCTGAATCACCTACACTGTGATGCAAAATGCCCCAACTCAGCTTTTGTGTTTTGACTCAGCATCAAGTCCCATGTGCAAATCCATCCTTACAACATCTAGAGCTCCCTCAACTCCACATATGAAAGCTGGAGAGAGGTGGAG